GAGGTATATCCTTTGGTGTTTACTTGCGTGAGCAATACTAAACAAAATGCGGCTTTTCCTTTTGCTTTGGCCGGTGTAAAACCTAAGCATTCTTGAAACAAGTCGCTAAACGAGTTTGCATCTTTGAAACATGGGTTAAGGTAGTATTCCTAAGAAGCTTTTCAATTAGTATCACTTGTGATAAAATTGCTTTAAAAAGTACAAAATATCCTTTAAACAATGGATCAGTTGGACTGCCTAAATTGCCCAACACGTTTTACGAACAAATAATGTGGCATAGGCGTCTGGTTCAAGCTCTCACTCTTACGTTCATGGGTTATCCGATCCAAATGAACTAATAATATAAAATTAATAAAACTTTTAGTATATATATATAAAAACTATCAGCCTACAATCTTTGTAGTAATAAGAGAAGTAGACCCAAATCAGCCGGCCCCTAAGTTACTACTTTCAAGCACAAATCTTTCTCTTATATTGCATGCTGACTTTGGAATATTCTATACCTCCTTATGTTACTTGGGGAGGCCTACTATCTTACGAATTTCGTTGCCACCTTCAAAGAACTTAACCTGAACCAGAACAAATATCGCAACAATCTCTGCTCTAAATAGTTTTCCTTACTGTGAAATAGATAAATAGTTAGTTTTATTCATTTTCAGCCCCCCTTTGTATTATTACCATGAAAGCAGGTACATTCAGTTTGTAATTTTTGTTGATTGATCACAGGTGCTAAACAGTACAAATAACTATAAAGTATGTTTCCGAACCCCGAATGCTTTGTGAGGCACCTCTAAGAAAGCCAGCTGCGTTGGCCACCACTGTGGAAATCGCCAAGGCATCTTAGCTAAATATATTATACAAAAATTGCTGTTCAATTACTTCTTTTGGAATTTTCTTGTCAGAGATGGAGAGGAATGGCACAGAATGCGACAAACTATTGGTCCTAAAATAATGCGCCCCAAAATTGTTGAGGAAAACTTGAATAACTTTAATGCTGTGAGCAAGGATGCTGTGGCAAGGTTTATCAAACTAAAGGAAACTAGTCAGGAGGAAGGCCACATTCCTGACTTAGAAAAGGAAATGAAACGGTGGGCCTTAGAAGGTAAGCTTAAATCTTTGTCAGCTTTGTACCCTGTCTCACAAGTGCGCACGAAAGTTTATTCCCTGTCTGTACAGGTTAAAGCTAAGAAAACCTGAAAAACCAATTTTTTTTGGCAATTTGACAACTCTACAGTTGACCCTCATTAGTGGTGTTCCGGCCACAAGGGTTGAGCATACAGTGTATCTAGTTATTCTATAAGAGACTAACTTGTTAAGTACATGCAGTCCCATGTTGCCCTTAATGTTGAAGAGTTCCTTGCCGCATGAGAAAATCAACCTCACCGTTCATTTCAGGGTAGTGGGAACAATTATATAATTCATTATATGCAAGTTGTGCGTAAAATTGAGAGAGTGTAGGTACATATGTAAATGCCGTGACACAGAAATGACAGAACGGAGAGTTAGCTCAAAAGAGAGGTGCTAACACATAATTATGCCAACTGAATGCACCAAGTAAATCCCGGAGTACAAGGTTTCGGCAAGAAAATAATGTGAAGAACGGCCCGCACTGGCTTAAGAGTCCTCACTAAAAGTGGTGCAGCAATTCATCGCGTTCAAATGATAGAAATGTACTCTGTACACTCCCGTACACTGTTAACTCTCCTTATCAATATTATTCGTGATTGCAGGCATTGCTACATTGGTATTTAATACTCGTCTCGGATTGTATGAAGATCGGCCACCTCAAGTTGCACTGAAATTTACAGAAGAGGTTAACAACTTCTTCGAACTTTCCCATAAGCTTTTATTCAATCCCTTTAGCAGAATTGCTCGCCAGTATTTTGACACACCAACTTTTAAAAAGTTTCTTGAGAATGCCGATGCCTTAATGGAAACCGGACAGGGTATTGTTGACAAGACGACGAGGGAACTGAAAGAAATGACAGAGAATGGAATTGATCTGGGCGACGCCCAAGGTTTGTAAACATACAAAGGGTCACTTATTTCTTTTTTAAAAAAAGAATGTGTGACAGGTACTAGATCTAAAGTTAAGTAGTGCTTCCCCTAACTCAAAGTTTCTTAACCTCAAAAGCTGATATCGCAGGATAATTTAGCAGTTTGATTAACTCTCTGTTGTACAATGGAGGGAAGTTCATAGCTCACCTCTCCCGATGTTTTCTTTTCGTTGACTTCGAAACAAGGTTGAGCCAGAATATCTTATCTCAAGTCAAAGCTCATTTTCTCAAACTAATTTTGGCAAAATTTGGTGAGAATTTGTTCCTGTGGATTGGAAATATTACGCCATGAATTCGGCCATGAGTTCAAGCCAGTTTTAAGCAACATTTTTACATTCTTTCCGTGCGGAAAAGAAAAGCAGCAAAATGAACAATCAAGACAAGCGTTTGCATTTTTCCCCTAAGAAAACAAAATATTTTGTCTAGAACGCACAATTCGGAGAACTCTGAATTTCCTCAGGATCCAAGATGGTGGCCAATATGGCGGCCATTTTAAATGATCTCACTGGTCCCTAGCAACATTATATTCTATAATATTTGCTTGATCTTGTAGAGCCTACTACAGGCTATCTATTGCCCGGATATTGGCCGATTTCTTTTCTACCGTTTTTATGGTCTTGACGAAGTCTTTTGCTGATAATTAATTCGACGGGTGAATTGACACTGCATTACAGTGAAAACTTGTAAGACAGCGTACCTTTTAATTCACTCCCTGTTAACAGACGTGAAATATATAGCATCTTTTTAACTTGTATAATTATTTTATGCAGTTGTTCCACTCTTAAGTGTTTATTCTCGGTTTAATTTCTCTTATCCTGAATTATCTATCGGTTTTAATTTTTCTCTTCGTCAAACCCCAGGTGCGGCTTATTCGCCACCATTTTGGGTACTTTCTCAAATTTTAACTACTATATTTGGTTGAAGTTTATAAGTTAACAAAACAATCAAAATTTGTTTTTCTTCTTCTTCTCAAAATTATCCAGACTTCTTTCGCTACTGTATGGTGGTTGTATAATTTAGCGCGATTTCCTCACGTTCAACAAAAGCTCTACCAGGAGATAGAAAGTGTCATAGGGATAGATGATGACGTCACACCCAAACATCTCACCAAACTACACTATCTGAAGGCGAGTCTGAAGGAATCCATGAGGTATTGTAAAACCACATCTGATATTTTTACTGCAATAGACGGCTACAATTACAATTACTGTAGTCAGTACCTTATCCAAATGAAAAGAGCAAGCCGTGCTTTGGTGACATAAAGTTCTTTTTTTTCTCTTTTGATTCCATTCTGCAGGATTTAGCCCCTTTCAAATGATAGTTCAACTGTTCATTGAAAATATCAATTTTCTAGCTCATCCGTGGTCTTTAAATCTAGGAAGAATTTTTTAAAAACATTTTCCAGTAGTTTAAGAATATGAATTGAATTTTTTTGGACACAAAATCTTTAAAACGCAGTTGAAATTCTTCGTATTGCATGTTTGAGTATTTTTGCTATCTTTTTAAATAAATCATTCAGTTATTTCGTCTTTGCGTTGCATGAGAAATATCTCGCCATGGTATAACGCCATGGTATCATACCATCATACCATTATTATCATACCATAATTATCATAGTGTTCATGTTACCATGGTATTACATTTGCCTGTTTTGTATCCAATGTTTAGGCTGACCCCAAGTATATCATCCATGACAAGAATTTTGGATCAAGGTGTTGATTTATCTGGTTACTAGGGAAAGTTCATTTAATATGACAAGGGGGGGGATGAAGATATTGAGGGGGGGCTCCGAAAATTTTTAGACACCCGAAGGGGGGGGCTGAAAAAATTGTTGCGCTAGGAGGGGGGGGCTCCGAAAATTTGTATACTTCAAAACCAACACATGACATCATCATACAGATCGGATGGTTTTCAATTCAACAATTTAACGACCTGTGCAACTCAGCTATATCTCGTGGTTTACAGATATAACAAATGTAGTCTCAGTAATTATTACACTCTTGTTCATCCCAAAAATGCTTTAGAAAATTGTATCACAACTGTATCTCAAGTTTGTCATAGTATAAACCATTGAAGACAATAACGGTAAATATATTTAATACAGTCTAGCGATCTTTTTTCAGGGGAGCAAAGGAATTGAAGGAGGAGGAGGGGGGTCTCTGAAATTTTTTCGACTACCAAGGAGGGGGCTCCTAAAAAATTGAACCGCTAGCGAGGGGGGCCGCTAAAATTTCAAGCTTCGAGTTTCAATATCTTCATCCCCCCCCCCTTGTCATATTAAATGAACGTTCCCCTATGTTCCAGCAAACGTAAGTAGCAGGTCTTCAGTTTTGATCCAAGGTGGTGAAATGTTGGTATAAAACAAGGGAATGGCAAGGTCTTTCTCCGTATGTTTCTCTTATTGCGTCAAAACCATTTTTTCCTTGATGTGTTGATCCCACTAATTTCTTTCAAACAGTGATGCAAAGTATCTTCAATTAATTAATTGACATATACATAGATTTCATGGGTTCTTATTGATGCGGCACAGGTGGAAATGATAATTCGGGACATGGATTAGAACATAAAGCTAGAAAATTAGTTCGATTCATTGGTTTTATATGAAAGCTGATTTCGAGGTATAACACCCAATAGGGATGTGATCGCTTATTGAAGAACACCAGCTTGAGTTTTTGCTACCCCAAAATCAAATCAAGTCATATCCTTTATTTAGACAAGTAACACCAAGGAGCATGCAATTAAAGAAAAAAATGTAAAAGTACACTAGTAACCTGTACATTAGTACTACTAAAATACTAACTCCCCCAGTGAATCAAAGTTTGAACATGTTTGATTCCAATTATATATCTCTGCATGGGGTGTTGCAGGAGAATTCCCGAAAATATAGGTTGAGAAATTTTGCGACTAAATACCTTTAAAGTCAGAGTCAAGTGCTTATATGATTATTTTATTGTTTTCTTAACTTAAACCTTTCTAGAGATTTTAAGTACATTTAAGATCAAATAGAGTTGTCCCAGTTTTATTTTCAATTTACCTGCATGTCCTTGAGCACGCATCTCATTCTAGTGCAAGACTCTTGTCGCCCTACACCCGATCGATCAAACCTCGTTATTGAGGTGCAGGATTAATAGATGTATAAAACAAAGTGCTGAAACGGTTAAGTTCTCATTGTTATCTTAAAATAATTTTGGCAGACTCTCGTACAGATGGAATTTTATGCCATTGCTCGCTCGGACAAGTACTTCAAAGACCCTTTGGAGTTCAAACCAGAGCGTTGGATTAGAGAAAGTAAAGACGTTCACTCCTTTTCTCATCTACAGTTTGGATTTGGGCCTCGAATGTGCGTTGGTAAGAAAAGAAGAAAAAAAAACCATAACGAAGTAGCCTGCGCCGATCATGCCCTCTTAAAAAATTTGAAACGCGTAACTGTAATTTCTCTGGTAACCCAACTATGGCCTCCCACTCAGAGGTTCTTAGGGGTTCGTCAAGCGTTACAAACCCCGCCTAAGAACCTCCGCGTGGGAGGCTACTAGCACTAGGGCGTAATTATGAATGAGAACTGATTTGCTGTATGTAGTCTTAATCATATCATATGGCTGGCTTACTACAAAGAAGTACTAAGTGTTTTCTTTCCAACAAATACGGCCAGGGAACGTTTGAACAAGCAATCATAATACCAGTATTAAAATACATGAATGCGAATGTCCATGTGATTCTAATGAATAAAATCTAGCTGCACCAATTGTACATTTTTTTCACGGCAGGTCGACGTGTAGCTGAATTGGAGATGTACGCGTTTATGTGCAAGGTTAGTAATGCTTAATAGTACCCATAATCGACTGGTTTTGTAGTTGCTTTGGCTTCCATGCTACCACTAGATTTGCGTAAGTCACCATCTTTAACTGGTTTTAAGAAAGAATTGAAAACATATCTTTTTAGGCAATTTTTAGAGAGTGGGTCATTGTTTTTGTAAACTTTATGATTTTAAGACCTGTAATATAATGATTGTAAATAGATTTTTTATTTGTTTGTTTGTTTGATGCTTGTGATATGTAAATTATTTCATTTTCCCCTTTTTTACATGGTAAAGCGCCATGAGCTCAGGATATGAGTGCTATATAAACTAGAGGTACCTTCCGGCAAGTGCCAACGAGACGAATTCGTTTATCTTTTGTGGAATGTGCCTATTCAGATCTTCGCGATATTTATTTTTTTCATTATTTTAGAGGTTTGAAATGGATTCCTCTATAGAAAAGGATGACACCTAACTCCAAAACAACAACTTTGGCACATTCTAGGCTTTCACTTTTATTAAACAATAACAACATGGCTTGAAGCTTTGTTGGTAAATATGAGCAAGTTAGCACTTATGTTTCACGGAAAATTCCATTGTTTCAAAACTATAAACGTTAGAAAGAAAACTGTAGTTCAAATGAGGCCTTTGACTGCTGAAATTAAAAATAATAATTAAATTCCGAGCAACAGCGTCATCAGGGATAAGAAAAATATTCCGCCTGGTAATATACATAAGAAAAAGTTGGTGTAAAGTAAAATATGTGAAAAGCGCGAGAATGGGGCGGAATGTATCAGAGGTATAAAAATATAAACTTAAATAAAATACAAAGATCTAATGAGCGAGTGTCACAGGACAAAGATTCTCTTGGAAGGCATAATGATAGTCCTCAAAACAAAAGGTCCGCAAATTCGTTGCATTCCTCACGGGAGTTTTGGGCTGTCTCAATGCAAATCAAAAAAACATGCTGGTTGACAAAATCTAAAGACATGAATAAATTCTAAAAAAAGGTCCACAAATACGTTGAGGACTGCGAAGAACACGCTGGTTCTGATATAAGTTTTGAGAATACAACCCTATGCCTTGATCAACTACCGCTTAAAATTCAATTCACAAAGTAAAAGAGAACACGGAAAACCCTGGTTCTGAGTCGAGAAGCGAACGCACTCATTGTAAATCGAGCTGCAAAGAATAAGCTGGTCCTGACAAAAATTTGAGCGTAAAACACTATTCCTTGATCAGCTGCTGCTTTAACCACAATTTATAAAGCAAACCAGAGCACTAATTGCCCTTTCAAACTAGAAATCGTATTAGAGCTTGCTCACCTGTTACACTGAATCACCCAATTTCGGACCACGAGTTGTAAATACAAGACCATGACGTCACTACCCAAATATGGGGTCTTACTTACACCCAAATATGGTCAAACATGCAAATTTTAGAGGGTTACGCAGAATTTGAGAGTTTTTGCCCACATCGTGCGGGATTATAAATCTGCCGCCGAGGCAACCTCGCTTCTTAGCTCGGTTGCCTCGTTGGCAATAAAGTTATTATTATTATTATTATTATTATTATTATTATTATTATTATTATTATTATTATTATTATTCCATTGTTTAGTGTCCTCTCTCCTACAACGCTCAGCCATAAGGAAACCACATTTGGACTTCGTTTTTATCTTTGTAACGTTTTTTTAAATCCTACAATATGGAAATAAATCATGGTCGGAATTTGCTTGCGTAGCTTTAAAGTTATATTTTTTTTCCAGATACCCTAACTCGTATACGGTTTAAAAATAAGGAGCTCATTTTCTCTTGATAAAAACTTAACAGAACAGAACACTCAGCACTGGGTCGAGGGTTACTTATTCTTTCAACTGCGTCCTAGAAGGCTACACAATGGAAAGTCAGTATATCAAAGACTTCTCACTTAAAGTAATTTTTTTGTTTCTTAACACTTCTTTAATGATCTCTGTTGCAGTTACTTCAGAAGTTTCGCTTGGAGTACCATCATGAGTCACTGGATTTGCTCCAGAGGCTGACCACTGTTCCTGATAAACCGGTTAAAATCAAGTTTGTCGACCGTCTGTGAGCGTCAATGAGCTACTATATTAAATATACTATATTATATATTATTTTCAGTTTTTGTTAACGTTAAAGGTTTTAGTCTTAATAAGAGATATTTTTTCCATGAAATGTACTTTTTGTTAAATTTTACATTTATTCAAAGAAATGCAATTAAAATTCACAGAAATTATTATAGTAGTCATTCATCTTTATGAGACGAGAGTAAAAAGTATTTTGACCGACTATGATAAAGATCAATAAAAATTGTTTAACCATAGAATTTTTGTTAGTGTTAAATATCAATCTTGTCAATAAATGTAGCGTATTAGTATATATATCACAGCTTGTAAGGTATCCTACAATTCAGTCTTCTGACTGCAAAAGGGACAATAAACCAGTGATTTGATGTGATTTAATCTGATTTGATTTACCTATTACTATTCTCGTCACATGAAAAATCATCCTTTACAATAGTTGGGAATAATAAGCAACTACTTGGCAGGAGTTTTTTAAACCAGTTTTACAACTTTTTAGATACCTTTCTTAAAGGTATGTGACTTCTGACGATTTTCTGTTCGTTAATTGTTTTTTTAGTCGTATATGAATACATAAATGAAGCTTAAATTTATTTCTTTTAGAGAGTGCAAAGTATGTTTTGTTTAACTGACCCAACTGGCCGAAGGTGAATTCTAAGAGTTCAGATTTAAGTTATTTCACTATACTAAACTTCTTGACTCAAAATGTGTATTTTATTGTAGTGTGTTGTATGGTTGTATTCTAAGTGGGAGGAAAGAAATTCATGGGTATGACGATTGTGTCGTTTCCTGGATATAAAGTATTCCTCCAAGGTTTTAAATTCTCGAATTTAATGCCATAGAAACAACTTTTTTTCTGGCTTGTTTGAATCTTTGCCATAAGGGCGCAAAATTTTAAAAACAAACACCATGTGCTATGTACAGCTGTTGCTTTCAGAAGGCACGTGTTTACTGTTGTCACATTATTGCAAAATCTTTGAATTAATATCAAACTGTTTCTCCAATTATAAACAATTTTTCTTGGTGATTTTAAAAAACCATGCCCATGACTACTGTCAGCTAATTGGGCAAGTCCGTTTCTTGACAAAGAATAAAAATTTAAAAAAAAAACTGATCGCCTCACTCAGTCTTTAATTTGTTCCTTTTGAGTCATTGAGCTGTACATTCATATTGTTTGGATCAATATTTCACTATTTAATATAACAAGGGCAACATATGGAGTGATGAATGGTTGGCAAACAAAAACTCAATTCAGTTAAAGATCGCTCTTTGTGCGGATTAAATATTCAAAGATTTTTCCATCCAGATTTTAAAAAACTTGGATCGATTTCGTTATGCTTCTACTTCAAAAATGCATCAATTTTGTTTGCCATTAGCTCCAAGAACGTATTAAACACCTCGCAAAGAATCTCAAAAAACAGCGTTGTTCAACAGTTTAAATTAGTCAACGTGTTTGAGTTTGTTTTCTCTTAACAATAGATCCCTTTGAAACCCTCGAACAAAGCTTAATCGAAATAAGCACGAGTTAATTGTCATACTGACTGTTTATTCATTAGCCAGTTCATTTAATGGCCTAAGGCGTTCAATTTAGTCGGAATCAATTTGCATAACATGAAGCTTTGACGGTTAAAATTTGTCGTTGTCTACAACTAAAGTGTCATCCACTGACATCTAGAAAATAAGAGGCAATTTTCACAAAGATAACCTACGTGAAATCTTTATTTTTCATTGAGCAAGATCTGATTATGCTACTCAACTGGATGTACCCAAAGCTCGTAATTGTAACATTTTTGCTGAGCGCTTTGGGGATGAAACACATTGCAGCAGAACACAAAGGTAAGAAGTTTCCTGTCACTTCAAAATTAAAAATCACAACCCGAATCTGAAACGGCTTATTACCCCTTTCATTGGAAACATTTCGTCTGTCCCTTCTAACCTGCAAAAGCGAAGCCAAAAAATTGTACGTGTTTTGATAATAACTTACAGCCTTCTTTTAATTTGAATGACGCGTTTAGACTGAGAGCTCTTTCAAGAGGAACGTGTGTCAAGTTTGACTGAAGAAGCAAACAGAGTTTTGCACTGGTAACACGCTAATCATTTTCAAAGTACCTGTCCTTAGAGAACGTCTTCGCAAGCACCCCATACAAATCAGCTAGTTAATTAACGTTTGTATTAGAGACTGGTACAAGACAGTACAACTTTCCTTTAAGCCACATTTCGCACCAAAAGCGAGCAGAAAAACAAACGATCTATGTAATTTTCATAGGGTGTGCATAAATTATCAAGTATCTGCAGAGCAAGAGAGAGATTATCAAAAAGAACGAATATTTCACATTAATTTTTATTAAAAATCCAACGATATAATCGTTAAAATTGTTCTTAAGTAAGTAGCCAACTCTTAGTTTCTGCCAAACTTGCGAAAAAATTCAAAAAGTGAGTAAATAGCCCTTCAATTTACTCAAACCAAAGGCACATCCTAACTACGATTTTGAGTTGTCTCAAACATACCTTTTTCTTTTAGTCAGCGGGAATCTTTGCAGTTGGCTTAAAAATTCTGACTGCGATGATCTTGAGCACAAACTAACAAAAACCACTACAAAGTAGTGTTTGTTAATAATTTTATAAATTTATCAAGTATCTTGCTCTTTAGTGCGAAGCTTGGTTATCACGTGCTGAGGGCCCCCACTTGGTCGATGTTATTGATCAATTAGTGTGAATAAATTATTACTGGGCGTATTTCACTTGCAGCATTTAGGGATATTAGGACTGAGCGCTGCTTGACTGTATAATTTTTCTTATCATCCGAATGCTGAATCCAATAATTGTTTTATTATTCATCCAAAATATTTACATCTTCATCAAAAGATACTCACTGGTCTTGATCTAAGTCAGGTTCCTGTATTCATGACTGATCTAGTCCTCGGCAGTTCCGGAGGATACAGTCAAATTCACCTCTTTTGCAGCCAAACAAGGTAACAAAATACATCAGTATTTTTTCCAACTCATTTGTTTCAGCAGATTGTCACCTCGTCTTAACAGCCGACAGCGGAACAATTCACACTCCAAATTTCCCAGGCAAACACCCCAACAATATCACATGCATCTGGAACATAAAAGTTCAACCTGGACGCTTCATTTTACTTTCCTTTCACGTCTTTGATCTGGAAAGTTATAGAGGAAAATGCATTGATCTTGTGGAGGTGAAGGATGGAGGTAGACAAACAGACGAACTTCTCGGTGAGTATGCAGGTTATACGCTGCGGGCAGGTCTTTCTTGACTGCAGCAATTATCGGACAGCACCAAGCAGCTAGCGCTAGGAATAATTAAGAATACGTATCGGTGTATCACTATGGTACATGTACAGTTAAAGGTGAGAAATTTATATGTTTTGGACCAATACAGCTGTCCTTCACTCAATCTCGCAAAAACACTTTCTACATTTTGTTTGTTTTTGCATGAAAACTATTTTTCAGCAACAACAGCAACCCCTCCTGGCGCGGTGTTTTTGGTTACAATTTTGATCAATAAGTTAGTAAAAACGCAAAACAGACACCACATAACAGCTGATGATTATCCCCAAATCTGTGTTTTTGAAGGGTATTGCTATCGTCGTAACTGTTTCGATCTTCATTGTGTTAAAGGTAAGATCCGTGTCTTTATCACATGCAGGTGCTTTCTGTAACACTGTTCCGCCGCCAAACGTTATCACTTCCAGTAAAAATGAATTGAGGCTTTGGTTTTATTCTGACAAGACTGACGCTTACCAGGGATTCAATGCTACATACACAAGCCAATGGGAGCAAGGTACTAGCGACCAAAATCATGATACAAAAGAATACAGGAATTTGCAAACCCTTGCAAATTTGCAATGTGGTTTACCCGGTCTGAAGTGATAAACAGACAGAGACACGAAATTCGCAGAGAGTTTCTTCAACTTGAGCTGAGCTGACAACAGCGTCTTGTCCGGTGAATAGTCATTGTTTAACCGGATTTGAATGAAGAGCCGCAGTTGTAATATTGAGCAGTAAAAGCAATTACAAATTAACCAGAAAAAAATTTTAGGTTTCAATAGGATGCAAAAATACGGCCAGTCAATTTGTTTGTTGGTTGAAATAATTGAAAGTCACCTTCCATTACCAAGTATCCTTTGCTTTATTAACAGGTTGTGGAGATTTTTTGTCAAAAAGTTCTGGAATGATTTCATCTCCTCGATTTCCCGATTATCCATATCCAAACTCCATACAGTGTGACTGGACCATTATTGTACCACGTGGTAAATTCATTCGCCTCGCTTTTTCTACGTTTGAGGTGGAATTTGATTGCAACGACAAATGTTGGTGTGTAGATCGCTTGGAATTATGGGATGGACCCGAATTCAATGAGACCAAGATAGGGAGGTAAGAGGCAAGCTTGTTCCCAGGGTCCTTTAACGCTAACCCTTATGGGTTACTTGGCGGATTGTTCGAAATGAACAACCCCCACCCCGCCAAGTTAAAATTACATGACGTCATTGTAACTGACCAATAGAGAATCGTCCTTTAAGCAACCAAGCAGCATGACACAGAACCGATAATAGATAATAATAATAATAACAATAATAATAATAATAATAATAATAATAATTAAAACTTGTATAGCGCTTATCCAATCCTGCTCTAAGCGTTTTTCACAACATTCCAAACAATTTTTATAGGAAGAGGGTCATGTGTGGGGGATTCGCTCTCTTCCCTCATTCTCTCCCATAAGAACAAATCAGCTGTCCATGGCTGCTACTGTCGAGATGATGAGGTGACTAAGCAGCATGCGTTAAGGTGGATTTCTACGTCAAGTTTTTCTTGGATACGCACGTAACTTTTACGAGCGTAAAAAAGGCAACGTATGAAAGGTCGTGCTTAAACGTAAGAGTTGCACCTCGCTCAACTTTCACGTTTACACGCGAAACTTCATACATTAGTCGCTATTTTATTTACGCACGTAAACTTTACGTGGGTGCGCACGACAAAGTTATACCCCAAAGTGAACATCCACCCGAAGTTACTGCGGTTCACACGTAGGTTTATCGATTAATGAGAGCCCTTTATTTTCTTCTTCAGTTTATGTAGGTCTGCTTTTCCACTGATTATGTCAAAAAGCAACCGGATAAGACTGAGGTTTATAACAAACACAGAAGGACGCTTTAAAGGTTTCTCGCTGTCATTCACCACCTCTATCACTCCAGGTGGGTGAAAAACTTTTTGTATTATATTTAATATACTGTAGACCTCTTGCGCTCAAAATGTACTTGGTACTATAAACAATTACCTAAACAAAGCGGGCACTTGTCTCTGATCCAAGAGTGTCCGTCTCGGGCCGCCTTGACATGAATCCCAACATGTACATTTGCGTTTTTCGTCCACCCACACGAAAACGATAAACAGGTTTATTAAAAAACGACACTCTGGGGATCGTTATCGTTTAAACCTGCGTTTTTTATCCCCGAAAAAAAGCCGTTTATGTGAGAATAGAGGAGAGGATAAAAGCACAGACAACTATCTCCGTTTTCAAACATTTTACATGAATATCCAGATGCGTACGGGCGGGGTCTCAGTGTTTGAAGTAATAACCCTGAATTAGAGTGTCCGGCCGTAAAGTATATATCATCCAAGTATCCTTGAGGAATTTGACTGAATCCGCTTATATATCTTAGGTTTCGGAGGTTTTAAAGAACGGTCATGTGATTTTTTTCAAGAGCAATTTATATTTGTATTTTCAGATTGTGGTGGCGATATTTCAGGATTGAGTGGAATAATTACATCTCCTAATTATCCCGAGTCATTTCCCCCGTTTACCGATTGCATCTGGCGTATTAAAGTGCCAGCTGACCGGTACATATCATTTAGATTTGAGGAATTCAGAGCCATCGACGGAACCAACCCCGCATGTTCAGCTGATTCTGTTGAAGTGAGGGAGGGCTACTCGAAGAAGGCTCAGGTTATAGGTAATTAATACTACTATAAATGATTTTAAGGATATATATTATAAATAAACAAAAATTAATGTAGCTGTCGTGGAACATTTTCATCTGACAATCATAGGCTTGAGAAGCATAGTTTTCACATGAATATTTAATTTGTTTGTCTGTTTGTTTTTTATCCTACGCAAGGTGTGTTGCAACAACCGCTACAAACAAAACTGGGTGAAAAATATTGAAATACCACAGAGGAGACTAGGTTTAACAATAAAATGACATGACCTCATGCAATGTCTAGTCGTCATTTTTAACATACACGTAAGTAAACCAGGAACTGAATGACCTGTAGGATAAAAGATTTCTCAGCCATTAAATCTTTTTTTTTTTCAGGACGTTATTGCCTCCAGAGCATTCCTCATGTTATAGTAAGCAGGGGCCATGAATTGTATATACACTTCAGAGCAAGAAGCAAAGCTAAAAGTAATTTAACCAGACGATTCAAAGGAAACTTTCTGTCTCATACAACAGGTACAGACATGCATTATCAGAATGGTGATTTTTTCTTCTTTTTTTTTTTCATCCGACTACCACCACCACCACCATTACCAATATCACCGCAACCACTTCAATCTACTACCAAACAGTTTTTGTTTTCTTATTGTTGCACCTTTATTTCTCCTCAGCATGTAATGAATCTATTGGTCTTCAGGACGGAAGGGTTAAAAATTCTCAGCTTTCTGCCTCCTCCTACTACACTCTAAAACTCGGCCACGGACAGTTGCATTTGTATCCTCAGTATGGACGAATAGAAGGTTTATATATTTGGTGTAGTCAGGTGAGAGGCCGCCATCTTCACTTTCCAAATACATATGGTTTATTTAGACACGGCAAATCATAAGTTTAAAAAAGGTAAAGCAAGGTAAAATAATAAAAATACAATAACCTTACTGTACATAAGTAACTGGTTTACACGATTGCCGTATGGGAAACTGACCGAAAATCAAAAAGCTTACCGGTTTTTATTCATTGAGCGAGTTTATGCTTCGTCTATTTTGTGATAAGTCCGTTCCAGAGAAACTTCCCTTCAAGTAATCAGTACCTATTTTTGGAAGAGAAAGCTTGAAATCAGCGTTTCTTAAATTACACAAAGTGGGGCAGGATATAAAGAGATTCTACAAGTAATAAGGGCACGCCCATCGAGGGCCTCAAACACAGTTAACATACATTGCTTTCTGCTTTTTGTGACGCACTCCAAGGGCCGTCCAGTACTTTGTTGTTGTTATTAATAGGTGTCTTGTCAATACAAAGACTGTCAAAACTAAAAAAATATATGTAATCTGTTTATCTCGTTTCCGTTTATTGCAGTTGCAACCGTCAAAGAACATTGTCAGAGAATACTTGCAAATCGACCTCCTGAACTTGACGGAGGTGACAGCCATTGCTACACAAGTACGTAATAAAAATGACATAAAACTACATTTGTAACAGTTAATGAATACATTTCTTTAGGAAGTGTGAACAAGCCTAAGGCCTAAATTCAAAAACCTCTCTCATCCCCTAGTGAGGGCTACACTTCCTTAAAACTTGTTTCTGAATGTTATTTCGAGTGTGATGGAGGCTTTTCACACCAAAAGCATGCTATGTCAGCCTCAAACTCACTGTGAAAAAAGGGTTCATGTTATGGCAATCAGGTCTCCTGTCACTGCACGTGAATTGAGAAAGGTGAGGGCTCACAGTCTATTATTTAAAATGTCATCCTTTCTTATTATTACTTTTACTACTATTTCTACTTATTACTACTTATAATCTTCCATATCATTCGTAGTGACGTGACGTCTTTAATAATGCCATATCAATATCTAGGCTTAGACGAAACAGTCATTGATGTCGAATGAAGTGAAGAAAAGGAGTCCCTTTCTCCCCTCTTTTAGGGTCACCACTTACAGGGCTCAAGTTACTGGGGATACGTCTCAAGTTATGAAGTTCAGTTCAATTACAACAGAAACCAATGGTTCACATACAATGCTGAAAACAGTAGCAGACTGGGATTTACTGTAAGTTGGCTATCTCACATTAATTTGTTTGGCTTTCTTTCTTACGCATGCCTTAACACTTGAGAAGGAATTTCAATTTAAGAACGTGCACTTCTCAAGTAAAGAATATGCCTCTTCTCAGAGTCTCTTCTAAAAACCTTCACTAAGCGCAGACCGTAATGGTTGAAATTTATACTCAGTATCACACCGGTATGGCACCCTTTTGTGGGCCGCCGGGGCAGATGGCTTTATGGCTTAAAAGGAGAGTGTCTCCAGGGGAACTGAAATTTACCAGAATCCTGCTCAAGTGCGTGCAATTTTGATAAACAATGAGACAGAAGTACTCATAAGTGGTTTAATCATAGCCTGTTCGACACTGAATGAGAGCCTGGCACAACCAACTAATTTGATCAAGATGTTAAAAGAGCTTCTTTCTCATTCTAATTAACAATACCTACCTATCTTCAATATCAGGAATTTAAGGGGAACACAGACGTCGAAGGAATAATTATAAACGCTTTCAAGTCTCCCATTTTGGCCAAAAGGATTCGAATTGTCCCGATTGGTTACCAAAGCAACCCAGTCCAACTCATGTGTCTACGGGCTGAACTATATGGCTGTACGTATGATCTAGGTAAGGTAATAAAGCAATACTCCATCTGGCGATCAGTTCAAGAATTGTATTCTCAAGTGAATAAACAGCAAATATTAAAAGTCAGGTTTCTTTCGTGGAATATTATCAAAGAATGAGAATTGGTGTACCTTTTGAATGCTTAAATATAATTTTCAAGTATTTTTATTTTTTAGGATGTGGAAGTGTCTTGTCGCTGGACAAACCGGGTAAAATAACCGTCCGCGGATCAGATAAAAAACATAAAATCTGCCGCTGGTTAGCTACACCCAGATCTCCTCTATCCAATAACATAATTTCCTTTCATTTTACCTACTTTGATGTTCCATGTCACCATGGTCACGTGATACTAAATGCCAGAAATGGAGGCAAAAAGATGACGTTTTGCGGTGCTGATCCTCCACCAGTCACCAGTCTTCCAGCGTCGAGTCAGATAACTCTAGAAGTTAAACTTGACAAAGGCTCTAATGTTTGGGGAATTGACCTCAAGTACAAGACTGATTTTTTAGGTAATTTAAGAACTGATAACTTACAAAATACCCTGATATCTTCCAAGTACATGCATGTTTTTATCATCGTCAACTGAGTTCACTAATTCTCTATTATTATTATTATTATTATTATTATTATTATTGTTGTTGTTATCATTATTATTATTTATAAGTAATCCATGAAACCATCACACTTTATCCAAAAATAGGCATACAAACAAAATTTATTTATTTTAGTATGTGTTTATTTATTTATTTATTTATACATTAATTTTGCAGGCTGTGGTAGAGTCTTGGATGTGTCCAAAAGCGGTACTTTGTCGTCACCAGGTTACCCTCTGTCATATGGACACAACCAACACTGCACGTGGATCCTCAATGCTCATCCGGGATCTAAGCTAACTGCATCGTTTATGGGATTTAATCTGCAAGCCTCAAATGGTACACATTGCGCTGATTTTGTCCAGATTCTAGATGGTTCAGAAGGTAAGCAATGATTTGGCTCAGACTGGAGTATTTTTACCGTGTAGTTGTAAGGAGAGAAGAGATTCTCAATACTACCTGCTAAACTATAGAGGTATTCCTCTGGATAGCCGAAAGCTGCAGAGGGTGCACCTTGAATTAATCTTGAGGTGAAATCTGCTCATCCAGTTAAATTCTAACTTGCTAATTTTTTACGATGGCTCAGGAGGAATTCTTGTTAAGTTATGTGATGTTTGGTTTGCAGATTCTTCAGCGGACTTGGGAACGTTTTGTGGCGATTCTGTTCCCGGACAGGTGACCTCATCTTTCAATAAAATGCGCATTACATTCCACAGTGATAACACAAGTGCAGCAAAAGGGTTTTTGCTCTGGTACGGTGTTGTCTCACCCAAACAATACAGCGAATTGCCTACTCCACAAGATGGTGAGTAGGGCGTTTTCGTTTAATACTTTACCTTTGCTTCAACTGTATAATACAATGCATACATCTTTGTTAAGCTGACCCCATCCTTAGTGGACACCCTAACTTAACCGGACTCAAGCACCAATAATCACCGTACTGCCCACCCATATTTCCTGTAAAAAGAACCTCAGTTCAACAGATGGTTCCCATTAGGTCACGTAGACTTCATGTTGCCCTCTGCATCCAAACTTGAAAGTTCCAATAAAGATTAACAGTAGGACTTAACATATCGTTTTATCTCATAGAGCAAACACAGATGACACAATATCAAAGAAAGACCAATCGCCCGTTGTCACCAACCACAGCATATCTGGAAAGTCGAAGTACCGCATCTACTATCGGCGTCATGACCTCTTTACGTAGTCACGTTATTTTGTTGGCTGTTTTAACTCGATTTCCTCTGTTTATGTGAATGAGTTTTAAACTGACATTTTTCTGAGACAAATTAGAGTATTTCACCAAATCTTTTACGAAAACTGTTCTTTGTGACTGATGGACTATCAGAACCAAAAAAGCATCGCCTGCCATGCACGTTCATACCTGTCCTCCATGTACCGACGTTGAAGATATATTCAGCTGTTGGTGTTCAAGTCCCCTGTTACAAGGCCAAGATGCCCAAAGAGATCTTAGCAAATTTAATGCAAGCGCCAAAGAAAGACTTACGTACCAAAACTAATATTGTTTGTTTTGTGCTTTTGAGAGTGTTTTAACTTTTTAGGATAAACTAACTTTATTCAACTTTAATTAATCCAGAGATTTTTGATAAGAAAGCTTGTCCAACACTTTACCCAGGCTTGCACTGATGAGTCCACCATTCCATGCCTTTCTTAAGTGAGTTCGTCATGACCTAGACTAGACTGGATGCAAGAGTTGTTGATCGTATCTGAGCCGCAAGGAATGTATTTGGGAAATCGTTATTGACACAGTGATTGTATTTTTATGATTTATATAATCCTTAATGTTGTATTAATTCTTACTTCAAATATTTCTGTAAATTATGTACATATTTTCAAAATTGTTGTTTTATCAATTTCAATAACATTCATTACAATTTTAATGATGTTTACGTCAAGGTAATTAATTTAACCTCCAAGCCTAGCCTGAATTTCAGTCTTATTCACCAGTCGCAAATTTTTAGGCTATTCCAAGATTGTCACGTGCAGTTATCATGGGAACCAATGCGGAAAACGCGAGGGGGCTGGGGAGAGACCCCCATTTCCCCAGATAACTCGCGTCTTATTTTCACCTCCCTACTATCCGAGAGCCTGGTACAGGCTAGCGGCACAACGGGATCCGCCCCGTGCAAATGGACGCAACATTGTTGGGAGTTGTTGCGACAGTTTGCAGGTAGCTTAAAGTTTTATCGGCTTCAAACTAAGCGATACACTGGACTCCAAACAACACGCTACAACATGCAACAGGAAGACCAAACAGACGCAACATTTAACATCCAACAATTGCGACCGTTTACACGGGGGTTTAGGCGAGAATAGGTTAAACATGTGACAAATAAGGTCACAAAAAAACAGAATGAATCTTCTCCAGTTTATTCAAATGAAAGACGAAAACTAAAATCGGCTCTAATAGAACTGTGAACCTTATACACAATATGGTAACCAAAAGTGAAAAGATTGTCTCCCTTAACAAAACAATTACGGCGAATTTGAGGCTAACAGCAGCAGGTTTCTTCCTCAACATGTCAATTTGGAGAAAGAGATTGTTTTAACAAAGGAAGCAACTGTGTTCAAGCTGTTTATTCAACGGTTGAACTAGACCCTGTTTTCCATCAAAAGCTAATTCTGTGACTTTTCCGTGACCTCTCAGTGAATTAATTTGGTGCTCAAAAGCAAAAGACGGGAAATTAACGGTAAATTCACGAGATCAGTTTCCGAAAACTTTTAATGCTTAACGCACTGTTTTAAACTTCCATTTAAGAAATGGATGGCAATATTTTGTCCTCAATGAACGCTTTATGAACAAAAAGCGATAAAACACAAGTTAGATAATGTTCTTCTACTGTGGCGACAGCTTTCTGATAAGTCATACGATCAGCTCTCAACAAAAAAGCATTCTCATTTCTCAAAGAAGCCTCCAGCTCAACAATTAATCTTAAAACAAATTACTCCCACTACAAAACATTAGTATCCCGTAATTCAAATAGAAAATAGCTTTGTTTAGGCTTTACTCTCTTACAATCCATTAACAGCATTCAAATTCTGTAGAAGTAAAAATAAGCTCAACGTTACACCAATAAGACCTCAAAAGCGAGGTACTTTTTAAATCTTAATGCAAATATTGACGTAGACCACTATTGACAAAAATAACTTTCCTACAATGTACCATAAGTTGGTGCAACGTCTAAATTACATTAATTTTGTTCTAAGTTTAATGCTGGGCAAATCTTTGATGCACTAAGAAGCGGATGGCTTTTGCATATTATACTATTTTGTCAACTGTCTGTGCAGTAATTACTTTACAGAAGGTATTCTACAATTCCTTGAGGCAGATTGTTTTCTCTGTGTACAAAACCATTTATACGAGATACCATCATCACAGTTTCAATAACTGAGCGCGCAATACAATAGTACCTCCTTTTTTTTCTTTTTAATATAAAATTAACAAAGCGCTTCTCTTAATTATCCTTACAGAGCTCCTTCTTAATTCACTACAAACAACAAAATAATCTGTTTTACCCACTACATGCTACCGATGTGGCATTTGTGGGTGAGGAGCCGTTTGCACTACAAATTGCTGACCAGGTACACTCGCGGCCGGAACAAATTGTTGTGGCATTCTCACACCATACTGTCCACTAGAGTTTGAGCCTGAATTAACCGTCACTGCCCCTGCAGGCCACGGTGGCGGGGGCTCTGTAACAGAGGACCACTGATGTTCCTCCATATTTGGTGCCCACTGCACATTATCAGGCCCACTGGGCCAAGGTCCATTCATTACAGCACCACCATAACTTGTCACAGGCACCTGAACACCCTGTGGAGCCTGCAAGTTTGGGAAACTAGGATTTCTAGCCCCTGTAAAAGTGCCCATGGGTTGCTGAGGAACGGCAGTTGGAACAACAACCTGGGGACCATTTCTTGCTGGTACAGGGTTCGTCACAGTTTGTATCTTTTGGTTCACCTTAATTTGATTCAAACTTAATTTTGTTTCCATCTTGCCAGTTGGTGGCTGACCAGACTGTCTTGTTTGTACCACAGAAGAAGAAGGCTTTTTCTTGATTTTGCTCTCAAACTGTGCTAACTGTTCAATTTCTTTATCAATTCCAGAGAAAGACTTCTTTGAAGTGTTTGATTCAGAGCTACATCCATTACTTTTGGCGTGTTCCACTGCTTGTAGTTCAGTCTCATCTGTACTGCTCTTGTGTCGTGATATAACCTGTCCCCCTGCTGTGCCCTGTTGCTGTTCCTTTAATTTTTCTTTCTTCATTTGAGCCTGATAAGCGTCTTTTCGCTGTTGTTGCTGTTGCTGTGCTCGTTGTTGTTGTTGCCGTTGCTTTCTACTTTCAACTTTTTTCTTGAATTGCACTATTTCTTTTTCATGTTTCTTTTCCAAGTCCTCCTTCTCTTTGCATTGTCTGAAAAAATGCAAGAAAAACCAGAGTTAAAAGCTAAAACAAATAAGGGTAGTGACGCAAGCATGAGTGGAGGGATCAAAGAATAAAGAAAAATAAAAAACCCAATAATACAGCAGACGGTTTTCCTAAAATAGTAGGCAGGACGACCAGAAGGCCCTAACTTTGTGTGGTTTTTAGACATAATTACCAAACCTAATTTACTCAAATAAGAATTATTTTCACAAACCAATACTATGCAACAGGTTTTCACAGACTGCCAGAAATGCAGCACTAACCTTCCAACTCTAGTCGTTTGTGACACAAACTTCACACTTCCCTGACAGTAGGCAATAAACCCTCCCTTGTCAAGTGTCAAATAGAAACCTCATAAGTCCTCTATTTAGCCCCCCAAGGGGGGGGGGGGTTATTTAATTTAGCACAGACGATGGTATCATTTCTCCAAAAAGAACTAGAATGCAACGTGAAAAAGCTTAAGTACAAGAAGTTGGAGGTCATGCAGCTGACGATCAAAAGCAAATCCGAAAATCCAGCTGGTGTATAAATCATACTGGTTCAGTCCACACAAAGTTCTACAGTCATGATTGATTGATACAGTCTCTCATTTATTAGTGAATAATAGTAAGGGGGAGGGGAGGGGGGGCTTAAAAGAGGATTTACGGTAGGTTGTGTCACAGACCTGTAAAAACATTTTCAGATCTATTAAACAGAGGGTAGCAAGTCCAAAGACTGTGTTTACAAGAGCATTCTTTTCTGGTTGTTGAGTGATAGTAATGCACTACCTAACAACATACTGAAAATCCTCTATAAAGCCACCCCCCCCCCACCAACGAGCCCCCATATACAGGGGGAAACACTAATTAAGCCACCCTCCCCTGCCTCCCTATTTACCAGTGATGTTACAAATGAAAGTGGAGGACACTGGTAGTATAGGAAAAGATTATGATTTGCCTAGTGTCTGGCACATCGTCATAATACAAAGAGTTGTTTCATCTTTGCATCTTACCACAAAATTTGGCAGTGACTTAAAACTGAACGAGTGGCATACAGAAACTACCTTGCAAAGATTTTCTTCCATTCTTCTTCGTCTTCAGCAGACAAATCTATTGCAATCTGAAGCCTTTGCTCAAGCTGGCCTTTAACCTTTGGTACCACTTTCTTCTACAACATAAAATTTATTTTAGATATTATTCACATCTCTAAAGCAATATAGTCTGTTTGCAAGAGCGAAGACACCTGGACTATCCCAAGACCAAGAGGATCAGATACAATAGTAACAGTCTTCAGCCAAGTGGAGTGGTATTAAACAGAAGGCAGTCTGTTCCCACTGACCACTGTCTGGCGCAAATTACATCATCACTTCCTCTACACTTCAGTATACAGTAACAGTACTCAGAGCAAAAGAGCAGACATACTTCTAACAATTATCACAAGAAGGAATCTTCCGTTGACAAAATGGGATTAAAGGATGAACATATTGTTTTGGAAAGTTTACAACAAGGAAAATAATAAAAAAAACTGTTCCTGCCACAGTTGAACAAGTTTCATAGCCAAATATCTGTAACAGGAAGCTTTTCCCTTTACTTATCGTAAGTGACAGCATTCCATGGGATATAGCAAATTGGAAGGAGACATTAAACACCAGAAACCTCAAAAAATTTCGAACTCCCGTTTAGACTTGAATGCACGACTGCCCGAGTTCTAGGTTGGATGCTCTTAAACCATTGAGCTACCGAAGGCTCTATGGTGAGTAAGGTAGAAATTGAATTGTGATTATACCAGTCATGGAGGACTACATGTATATCTGGGATTTGCTCAAAATATCATCATCAATCACAACCATAAAATTAATACTATTTTGCGTTTATATGTACCTGTTCACCGCTTTGCTTGCTTTGCTCTCCATCTTGCTTCACTATTTTAGCATCAATAATCAAATCACTTTGTCCACTATTTTTTCTTGGCAAATCCTTGATAGACCCACCAGCCACAGTAGTTAAGACTGGCCCCTCAGCAATGACAGTCTGAGGTGAACTTGAGAAAGCAAGTGAAGTCTGGACACCAGAATGTGAACCAACAGAGTTAAGGCTCTCCATTGATGAACTGGGGGTCAGTGAGGGTACCGAGACTGATCCAACAGCAGCCGTTACATCTTGGAGAGTAATTTCCATAGGTTGTTCAGGGGTTGGTTTTACTTGCTCTAACTTATCAGATATTGGTGTTTCAGGTCTATTATTTGAAACGGAAACAATGAATCTTCCCTGCACAAACTCACTCTTGGAAGGTAGGGCTCCAGATTTCTCAACTGAAGCACTTAGAGATAACTCATCATCTGAGGAGACAACTGACTCTGCTTTTTGTTTGTCCGCAGTCAGTTCCTCTCCTGATAACTGAGTTTCAAATTTGAAATCGTTTGAGATGGCTGGCTTTCCGGAAACAGAACTATCAACGGGATGAAAACCGTAAGTTGGAGTCTCAGGTCTAGAATTATTTTTACCATCAAACTGGAGTGGTTCACCAGAAGTCTTTGAAGCATGAACTTCAAAGTGCATGTTCAACGGTTCTCCATCTGAGACAGCAGCAGTTGGAAGATCATTTTCTTCTTTTCGGACATAACTATGAGCATGTTCTGGAGTACTAGGATCAACAGCATCCTGTTTCACAGGTGACAAACTCTTTCTTTCTTTCAATTTGACTTGAGACACTTCCTCACCAGATGGTTCCTGCACAGATGCTGTCTCGGGATGTATTGAATTGTCTTTGTTTGGTTTATGAGATGCAACTTCAGTATGTGAACTTTTGTCTACAATGCTACTAGTTTTCACAGGTAAAACTGATTCAATTTCTTTATTTTCTGGTTTAACTGGTTCATTTTCTTTATTTTCTGGTTTGGCTTCTGGAGGAGAGCTGCTCTTTAAAACAGGATCTTCTACTTTCTTGACAGTAAATCGTGTTTTGATGTTTCCAGAAGGAGGAACTGCTGAGCTGACAGTGTCAACAGGCGACTGCGACCTTTCACTCACTTTACTTTGAGTGTCATTTCCTGTTTCAACTGGCTGAGGAGTTATTGGGCGTGGCTCCTGGGCAGTTTGTTCCTTGCTCACATCAAGATCAGATTTCACTTCAGGCTGAGCAGCTTTTTCAGAAACCTCTTCTACTGACACTGCTTTTTCCTCTTGAGGTTGTTTAACTTGTTGTGGAGGAACTGGATTCAGCACAACCGGTTGCCTTGTTTTTTCTTCAACTTTAGATGAAGATGTTGTTTGCACTGGAGTAGTATCAGAGGACTGTTCATGAGTATTTACGACAGATTTTTGCTCAGACCCAACTTGCTGTGAAGGTTCAGAAGCTGTTCTTTTTTCAGTTGGAGCTGAGACTGTCTCAGGTTTACCTCCTATTGCACTATCCACAAAGAATGGCACTTCTTTTGGATGAGGGCTCTCCAGCATCTAAAACAGAAGCAAGATAAACTCTCTTAACTTTACACACTGACTACCAGAATAACTAGAACAAATGAGGTTAAAACCTGCTCAGTAATTTGGGTATAGATATATAGTCATCACAGATTATCTATGCAAGTGGACTCTTCACAGCAGGCTTAAAGATATGTTTCATTAAAATAGTGCCGTAACGAAGATGATACAATTATGCCAAAAAAAATGTCAAGGTCTTACCCAGGAGAAATATAAAAAATCTGAGTTCCCAAAAGAAACAAACGTGCTTCTTGAGATTATCAACCTGTAAAGTTATCCAGTTGGGGTTATGTACTATATCTTAGGGCTCACATCACTTTATTAAAACATAGGTCAAGCTAATACACAGTGCCAGGCTTTACCTGTTGTGATGTGACTCCAGCATTGCTACTCTCTGAAGATTGGATATGGCTATCCAGCCCTGACTTTTCAACAGCACTATCTGCTCGACCTTTAGCTTTTTCCACTTTTTCTTTTGCTTCAACTATTACTTTGCGAAGCTGGTCTTCAAACAGCTGTTTGTTACATTCCTGAAGGTGTCCCGCATTCATCTGTCAAAAAATGGCATATTGTAGCATTTTTAATGCAAAACATTTCTAAGATAGAATAAAATCAGTTAGTTCAAAGTCTAAGACAAACGAAACAAAAAAATTATTAGTTTTCTTAACTATATCAACAGAACATTCTTCTCTATCTATAAAATCCTCCAACTATTGTACCCTCTAAGCTAATGGAGATTCTAGTAGTGTTAAAGTAGGCGATAGAACCAAACAAGAATTAACACTAGGAGCAAAATTCAAGGGAAATACACTATAAAAATAATTTCTTCCTCTCAGGAATAGGGATTAAAACACACACTTCTCAGAATTTCCATGATTTTCAAGTTGAAAATGGTAAAAAAAGAAACAGTGGAACCTTGATATAGCGAAGGGCCAAGGAACTAGCAAAACTTGCTCCCTTTAAAAACGTTTTTTTATATCAAGGTTCTTTTTCACATATTTAACTTACACTGAGGTAAAGAAAATGTTTGTCATAGTGAGGACTTCATTATATAGAACTTTGTTATATGGAGATTCCACTGTATCTCTGCTTTTTGTTCTTTCAACCACAATTAAATAAATTTTACCAACAACACCAAGGACAGTACTGGGCCAATAACAAAACTGTACAAATTACCATGTTTACAGCAACTTCATCTGGCTCATCATCATCAATGCCAAACTTGAATGTTATTCTGTTATTTTTGTAAGTGTCAAAACTGCACTCAGCAACAGGTCCCTCAGGTGACCCTGTAATCCTTTTTAATTGAATTCTAGGCAATCTCTCTTTCTTTGTTGGCTTTGTGCCAGTTTTGTCCTTTTTCTCTGCAGGTACTGTACTTCCCGGCGGGGCAGGGGTAGACACAGATGAAACATTAACAGCTGAGGTGATACTACCACCAGCAGAAGATGCAGGGGTCCCTGTTGAGTAAACCTCACTTGCTGAAGATGCCACAGAAATATTTGAGGACAGTGATGATGAGTTTGAGGCATAGCCAGAAGACATGGAACCTGACTCAGGTATAGTAGCACTGAAGGATGTTTCGGTTGGAGTGGTAAGAGCAGAAGACGGCAAAGTCTCCACCTCCTACAAACAACAGATAACAACATTTAGGGCAAATATTACTCCTTGGACTAAAGATTTCATCAGTATCTTTCTTCTCTCATATAAGCAGCCATATCCAACCATGAAAAGAGACATTGCCGGCAGCAATAGATACCTATGCCTCAAAAGTTGACTAAAGTGCAACTTCTTTCTAAGGCTCTTGTTGCTAGTGATACATGTTTGTACAAGTGGGAATAGTATCTAATGAGTCAAACAATTCTTACCAGTTTATAATTCTCAAAAAAAGTTTAAAAGCTAATTTTGTTGTGATTCAAACTATTTCTTCCCAATACATGTAAAAAACTTCCTTTGGATAGCAGCAACCTGAGAATTAGTGGATGCTTAAACTGTGTTCTTTAGTTTCACAATTTGCCTGACCATAGTTCAGCAGCACATGTTCTTAAAGGAGCTGTGTCACGAAATCAGGCAAATTAGGAAATTACAAAATACCCGTTAAATTAAGAGAAACATAAAAATAACCGCTTAAAACGTTAAAGGAGGTTTAAAATAACATAAAAGAAACAACAGATGCCACGGATGGGCAAAAATGAAGAAGATTGAAACGGATTGAAATTAGGGTTTTTGAAAACTGTTCAGCCTAACAGTGTTTCAAAGTTTGTCCCCGCTGATTGCAACTTCAAAAATAATGTTCAGGAGACATATTTGTTTGTCTCGGATCTCTGATTTTGTCATTTACATGTAATTTCTTTGCTTACTTTAAGTTCCATAGCGATTGAGGGCGACTAATTGGCAAAATTAAAGAAAATGAACTAGACTGCCGTGACACAGCCCCTTTAACATCAAATCCAGACAACTAAATTCTTTCACTTTACACACAAATTTTCTAACTTGAAACACTGTTGTTCGTGTGACTTTGGGGAGACAGTACTGAATACCTACCATAGGAGGCACTGTGACAGAAGAAGGAGCAGCTGTCACATCTGTTCCACTAGTCACATCTGGAAACACCTCCTCTGATGTACCAGTGGCCTTCTGGAAAATACATACAAATGGTAAGAAATAATGTGGCACAAGATAAGTGATACACACAAGAGAGAGGAGGGTGGGAGGGAGGGAACAACTAACTGAGTCAGAGTTTCTCATGGAATTCAACTACAATAAGACTCCCATAGTGGGGGCCCATTGGGCTGCCATCTGTATTTTTCCACAAACTACAAGAATACATCATCTGTGCAAGGATACCTCTAAGATTACTGAAAAGCTGAAATTCCCTCAGATAAATAATATTTTCCAGTTAACTAAAATGTATAACTGAAAGCTAACCTTTTCAGTAATAGCAACAGCATCTTGGTTGACAGGAAGTACTCGCTCATCAATTGTTCCATGTGGACTATCATGAGACTCTACTATTCCTTCTAACCTTTCTTGTGTGGGATCAATAACACGCTTTACTGGTAACCCACTCTGTACGTTAACAGAAGCATCAGCCGCTGTTGCAGGTTCAGGCTCCTCCACGCTGTTCTTCTCCTCCTTATCTTCTTTCTCCTTCTCTGTTTCAGCTGGGTGTTGTTCTTTATCACTATCTTCACCTTCTGGCTTGACAGCCTGTTCTTCACTGTCCAGCTTCTCTTTTTCTTTCTTTTCCTCTCCTGATATCTCTCTCTTAATACTTCGGCGGTTTAACATAACTTGAGCAATACGGTCTCTGATAGACTTGGTGACTGCCTTCTGGTCCTCATCGTAAATGAAACCTTGTCTAACCTGCAAAAACACAAAGAAAGCAACACACTCTGTTGGACTAAAATGGATATGTCATTATATAGTATCTAATTGCTAATTTGCAGTTTTCAGGGTGATCAAATGTACAATTAAGCCATTCTTTAGTTTGTAGCAACAGTTTTTTTCCCTTAAGCTCATCCTTTCCAATTCGAATACTATTTTTTTCATAAGTACATGAAAATTATTCTCCTATAATGAGCCAATGTTTTACAAAAGTAAATTCAAGAATGGACAATAAATGATACTAGACAAAATTTGTCAAAGGTGAGGAGACAGTAAGAGATGTTTAGTAGACCGCATAAAACAACACCCACAGGTAATTCTGTGGGGAAAACAGTTTTAAACTGTCTTCAGATAAACAGCTGTAAGGCATGTTTTAATCAGGGTTCTCGTGAGTACATGTGAGTAGCCAGCTACTCTAAACTTTTGAATATGACCCAGTCAAACATAACAAATATATGAGGATTTGTGCGATAAATGGCCAACTTCTTTCCCTGAGAGATCAGCCACTTAAAACCTAAATGACAGCCCTGATAATGGTCTTACAAGCTTACTGGCATGACAAGTTATGATGATGAGGACATTTTTAAGCTTTGGAGTGAATAAATGGGGTAACAAATTACTGCACGCATTGTTAACCTGCTTTAGTTGGTAATATACCTAATATTGTACTACAAAGGCACAAGACTTAACACATACGAAACGTTTGTTCACAGTGCACAACAAAATGCTGAAAAATTAAGCTGAGGAAGGGAATAGTGGATAAATTATTCCCACTTCTGCATATTTTCTAAAGCTGTGGATAAAAAACAACTTAGGATAGGTTTCATGGTTATTGTTAAAATCGTGTTCCTTATCTGCATGGAAAAATAAAATCGCATTAGTAAGCACCCCCTAAATCAACTGTACTAAACCTAATTTTCTTTCTTTACATATTTGGACTCAAAACTTTAATTTAATGTCATCGATACCGTTAACTAAGTTCAAGTAAACTTGCACAATAAGAGTTTCTGTTTTTGATTGGTGATGGAAGCTTAGTGTACCAAAAATGTACCACTTTAACTTATGATCCAGGTATTAAATTCAACGAACTTAAGTCTACCTGACAAACAAACTTAACAAGCCTCTAGGAAAAAAACTATTTTGAACGTACCTCTTTCAATTGAAATCCATGTAGATATTGGTAAGCTAAGAAACTTTACCTCATCAGTCAAGTCCATTAGATGTCAGTAATGATTACTATTTCTCCTTCTTCCCTTCAAGCCCATTGCTCAACTTCGGCTAATATCCTGTTCCACTGTTAAGTTTTGTTAAAAATTAAATTCTAGTTTAGAAATATATCCGCTTGTGCACTTAGTGAGAAAGGCAATAGGCTTTCAATACCTCTAGACACAGCTCACTTGCAAATATCCTCAAGTGGCCAAAACAACCTTTGAATTAAACTCACTCACAAGTTAATAATCATGATAGCACTGTAACATGCACTTGGCAAGACAGAAAATAGAACACCCAGAGGGTAAGGATGAAACTTTCACTTTTGCCTCGTACATATAACAGACTTAACACCTACCTTTTTACACTGTGGACGAAAACTAATATATACTCTGAGGCTAGACACGACTCAACTGCTTACAAGATAACACAGAGATCACTCACCAGTTCAAGAGTGACTTTCTCTGGCTGATCAGTCCCCAAGTTAAAGTCAAACTGAATTCCCTCATTTTCCTTGTGTTTGTCCTTGCGTTTCTTGGGATCCTCAAGTTGCAACAGCAGCTTGACTGTACCAACAGGTTTTGTATGGTCACTGTCTATTCCAGGTTCAGGCTCCACCAGATTCACTTTAACACCACAGTCTTCTTGGAAGAATGGGTGGATTATTATTTCTTTGATCGTGTATCTAAATGCAATAATAAACACCTTCATTAACACAATCAAACCTCAAATATCTTTTACTTTCTGCTTGTACAAAGGGAGACAGCACAAGGTAAAATTTAAGAGGCTAGTGAAAATAGATATCTCCAAATTTTGTCTTCTGTATATGTCCACTGTTCAAAAGCTGTTATTCAGCGTCATAGGAAAAATGTAAGAAAAATACAACCAGCAAAAATGTCTAGCTAGTGACAGCCCTAGCATTAGGAGCAAAAGTCAGCACAGTGCTACTCAACTAGTTTTAAGCTAGAACGTTTATTAGCAATATATCCTGGTGGTACAAAAAGGTGTGGTTTCTTCTCCTCCACATAGGTGCATAAAACAAGAAAAATACAAAGCTCCTTTTCTGACTGAATGTAGTGTGAACTTGTTGCTGTTAGTTTTGCTGTTGAAACTACTTGAAAAAGATGCATGATCTGACCTGAAGGGAGCAGAGAGCAAAATCTATATAAAATCTTCAATCCAAATACCTCTCATCCATTTTAGCTTTTGTACAACCTTCAATAATTTCTCTGATTTCCTTTGAACCAACTTTATCCAAGCATTCTGGCTTGATCCCCTGTACAGGTTATAGTAAGTGAAAAATCTTTTACTCCTTATTTATTTGGTAAAGATTTAGAAAAAAAATTTACAAAAATCAGTGAAATGTAGCCAAGTTTCAAAGTCACCTTAGCTTCACATCCAAGTGGAGTTATAAAGCTCCAACTCTAAATGCAATCACAGGCTTTTTATCAGACAACATATGTACTTACACTGACAACTCTGCGGTAAATTTGGGCTGGGTTCTGGCATTCCATGTAAGGGTACTCCAGGGTTGTCATCTCTAACATGCACATACCAAATGCATACACATCAACTGACTCATCGTAATGTTCCTCATACATTTCAGGGGCCATAAATTCAGGTGTGCCTAATAAAAAAAGACAAGCATTACCATTAGGTAAACTATGTAACCAACTTTGAGAAAGACATCATCAATACCATAGCCAAGTTTTGGTTTTATAATAGTTCATAAAGTTAATAAAATACCTTATGCAAGTCGCAACCAAAGTAAGCCCAGCTTATTTTCTCTTAAATAGACAGCTCCAGTCAATATTATTACTGTTGCATACATGAACTAAGTCAGCTTTTTCACAAGCAAGGCTAATTGATAACCTAATTAATATGCCTTACCTATCACACTTTTAGCAAAAGATGATTTCTTGAGGGTTGCAAGTCCCAGATCTCCAATTTTCACCAGGCCAGTAGTGCCATTTATGAAAATGTTGTCACACTTGAGGTCACGATGTATAATGGGGGGTGTTCTTGTGTGTAGAAAGAGCAACCCCTTAAGAATCTGTCGACACCAACTCTTCAGAATTTTTTCCTTGACTCCTTTAAAACGTTTTAAGTAGCTGCAAATGTTAAAAGGGCATCAATCATACATATAAACACAAAAGTACACATTTCAGGCATTTAATGAGGTAGGGGAAGGAACTGTCAAACTCTACATACAAGATACAAACACAACCAATGCATATACAACACAACTATTACTGCCTTGAGCAAAGCCAGGGAGTTGTCTAGTAAGCTTGGTTTACAGTCTTAAAAGAGGAAGAGAATTTAAGTGTTAAGACATATGAAAAAACAAAAAAGTAATTGCTTTAAAAAAAAATTTGTAGTTGGTGACTTAAATCTCAACTGCCGAACAGGAAAACAACTTCTGTGACCTGAAATCTACTCTGATCCTTGTAATCCTGAGTTTCTTTACCAGAGATCTATCTATTTCCCTTTGTTCAAACTGATAAACCAAATGGTACATTTGGAAGATTTCACACAATACCTCCAAATGCACCATGGGTTTCATTACATCAAATAAATCAAGTCAAAAGTCACTCACAAAAAGATTTTTCTCTAAAAGCACTAAAAGTTATCGCGAGTTTTCAGTTTCCAGAGTAAAAAGCTAACTTTAAGAGTCAAAATCTCCCAATGACAAAATAAGCATCCTTCCCTATCCAACAGACTTTACTAGCCAAGATATTCTCCAATTAACTTTGTTGAGAGCATTTTTCTATTTGGCAACTACCTTGACAATATTACTAGGCACTTTTTAACCTTAAGTCAATATAGAGTCCCCCATCATGTCCAAATGGTGGAGCTTCATGTTATAGCACGAGAGCTGTGGCAATTTAATCAGACAAGTAACATTCCCAATAAAGACGAGGATAACAACTGGAACTAATCAAATAAACAATGCTGAGCTAATCGAACAAAGAAATTATACAAATTGATCTCAAAACATTTAGCAGGCCCTTTGAACTGCAAATAAACCCACAGAATCATAACAAATAGGGGTCTGATTCATAGAACAGAAATTAATAAAATTGGTTTTAAAGGTTGCAGTTCATAAACAGTGTTACAACAAACAGTATTTTTCACATCTTTTTGAAAGAATAAGATTGGTCCCAAATTAAAGAATAGGAATTTTTCTCCTGTAATAAAGGAGGGCAAAGTACCAAAATCCATTCACATTGTTTGATATGAACGTTTCAACAAGATACTCGGCTTAAAAAGTTTACCATGTTTATAAATCCATGATAACATCATCAAATGATTTCTTTCCAGATGGACATGGAATATTTTGTTTAAGACATTTTACGAAAAATTAACGTGTTAGCTTATTAACAACTAAACTTTACAAAAATATATTTTTCACAATCGCCTAGCCCTATAATTAGACTGATCAGGACGTTTTGATCAACGCTATCGATAAAAACAACGATGTGCACACATGAATTACAAACGACATCAAAATATAACTGCGGTAGGATGAATGTCAAAGATTCGCCAAATAACACCAACTTTGAAACCGCAATTGCTTTAGCCTGCTGGGTTTCGATAAATTTTTCTGACATTTGAAGAAAGGGAAAGTCGAGCAAATGAGACAAAAATAACAAAGACTAAATGGCCTACATGACGATACATGTACCCCTAAAAGGAGCCAAGAAACAGGAACGGAAAGTGGTTTAAAATTAAGCCTAGCTTAAAATATGTACTCTTTTCACGCTAAACCATGAAAGCATGTTCTGAATCTTATTAAGCCTGTAAATAAAATACACAGGTATTCTTCGCCGCTTGAAAGAAGCTTCTACAATAGGCCAGCAAAGCCGATACAAAGTTGTTTTCCTCGCTAGAATGAAACAATAATCTTGAGCAGTTGCAGAATAAAACATTTATAGAAAATGAAACTATTAAAAATTCAGTAAACCAAGAAAACTTTCGGGAAAACAAGAACCGTGAAGCTCCGGAAATACTGTGACGAAACGAACCTCAACTCTCCCCGGAAACGTAGCACATTTTAGCAGTGTAAAATAAAAAAGATCCACACAAATCCAGATTAACGACAAACTCGAATAATTGCCGATTTACAAGTCAAAATTAAAATAGCACATAAAACAACGTGGCTTTATTTGTCTGTTCATTCAAAATTTAGAGACATGGTAAAGCAGTTTCGTCACAGCTTCCTGCCTCCTTCTCATGCAAACATGTCCACATGAATTCGTGGCAAGAAAGGCGCTCTAACTAATTGAGCCTCCACAGTGGAAATTTTACTCACGTTTTCAGTGTCCCCGAAGTCATAAGTTCCGTCACTAAAATAACCCTTTTCTTGTCTTTATTTGGAAGTCTTGTTTCCCATGAGTCATGGAATTTCACAATATTTGGGTGTTGTAATTGCTTTAGCATTTCGGCTTCTTCTTTGAATCTTGCTCGCTCGGCTTTTGAATATTTATCCTTTAAAGAAAAGAAAATGTACAGAACAATGTTTAATATCTATCACTACTTCTGTCTAAAACGCTAGAAAAGAACGCAAATTCACACGGTACGGCAACCAACCTGCAGTTCACACCAAGCTACTGCTACCCCGGTCTCTGTATCCAGCCCTTTGTAAACCGTCTTGAAAGAACCTCTACCAACTTCAATGTCAAATTTAAGAAACCGGCCTTCTGGACTTGCACCGACGGCTTTCTCTTCAGCCTCTAATTCAACAGTTTTCTCGCGATTCTCTCCTTTAACAGGAGCTTTCGAAGTACCATCGGCCAAGGGTTCAATGTATTTTGATTCATCCTCTGCACTGACATCATTGAGATTAAACTTTACATGTTTCTGAGGCTTTTTAAATTCTTCGTTAGGAACTTCATCCCCTTGACTCTCCATAACGTCCAGCTAAACGTTAGAAGAAGTCAAGATGGAGGCAATCAAAGCGGGTAAATAGTCCAATACATTGGCGCCATACATCGATAAGAGGAGTCCTTCAAGAATTCCATTGCTTCGTTCAGAAGTCACATCCTAAAAAAGTTTAACCGTTTCCGTCTCGACCACGCAAAATGGCTGTCCCTTTGGTTATTCTGTGGTTAGTCTAACATCACAGGTTTAGGTCAGGCCAACAAAAAGAAAGAAAGGGCCGTCCATTGCTGTAAACAACGCGGCCAAATCACAGCATCCCTGCCTTCTTCAGTCTATACAACTGTGTATTTGCAGTCGATTTTGAAACTTCTAATCGATTAGGAAGACCGTAGGCGCAGAACCAAAGTTTAAACCAACTTTTCAGAGCGTAAGCTTTAAAAATATACACTCAAATCGTAAAATAGTCTCAAGGAACTACCAAATGGCGCTTACTAACTCCAGGAGTAGCATGTAAATACGGTGGAAGAGAAAGTGAACTAAACCGCCATTCAATGGCGCATGAATACGTCCACTCAGGGGGAGGCCGTGAGGAGCTCTTTTTGCAGGGTGCTTGTTGCTAGGAAACTTACAGCTGCGCATGCTCCTTTTGATCTACTACAGGAAAAACCGGTTGCTTTCAAATGGTCCCATGACCATACCTTGGCGAGAATGGAATCACATCCTTTGTGCTTTCTTGGCTTTGTTACGAAATAAGAACAATATAACAAATTGTCTCTTTATACAGCTTTTATTACGTGAATTTTTAACGAGAAAGTAAAGTGTCTCTCCTTTATACACGCAAGGCGGTTTCTTTTATTTTGGACGAAATAGTTAAGGTTCTCTCCTTGTTTGGCAAGACTTAAAGAATATTTAAATATATCTTACATGAATAATATCAGTGTTAAAACTTTAAAAATCTTGTCAGCCATATGTCATACATGTGACTTGTCAGCGACCAACCACAAGATCGCTTTTCATACTTGTGGCCAAAATAGACACTACAAATCTTGCCTTTTAACATGTCGCAGCTGTGATTATTAGTTTACAGTGAGTTTAATATCTTTTAAAATTTGTTTTTGTAGTAACCCTTAGTGGTTTTTTTCTTTCTTCCTCGTCTCCTTCTTCTTTACCTTTTTTTCCCGGGAATTGCTCCAAGCAAATTTGACTTTTTCTATTTACAGTTTTAGTGTCCAGGGCTACTTAAGTATCCCTTAAAAAACGCGAGATGTGAGTTTAATTAATGCTTGCTAATCTTGAGTAGGGCAATAAAAAAATCTGGTAGCAATAATTCGAACTATTATATTGCCAAAGGATTTCAGTGAAGTGGCGCTGATAGAGGACAGCGATTTTCTGGTCCTTATTTCACCCAGTTTAATATAAGTTATTTTTTTAAGTTTTAAATTTTCAAAAATAGTAAACATTTAAATTTTATAATAACTGTAAAATATTACTGCGTCATATATTAACGAGTAAGTTAGTTAGGGGAAGGGTCGTCCAAAGTTAACATATTGCGGCCTTTTGCTCTGATCACGCAAGCTTGCTTGAGTTATATATATATTGCCCTAAATCGCTCCACTCAACCTTCTTCATTGAATATGAACTATCGGTCTTCTTAAGACTTGTCTCTTTTCAGTATGTGTGTGGGCACAAGGGAATACTCATCTACTATTGTCTAGAAAGGGTTTCATGTCTCCCAAAATAGCGTGAGGTGTAATCGTGACGTACTGCTGCCGTTCATACTGATAGTGATACACATGTCCCTAATTAGTCTCTGGCCGGAGTCACGCAATGGGATCGGGGAGATTACAAATTAGAAGGAAAATGACAACGCAGCACAACTTTATTTAAAACGGCTGAGGGTTTGAATCCTAAGCGCCCCAAACCGCGCTATTAATCTTCCCATAAGAGTCCCTGGGTCGTATGCAGTCGGGGGGGGGGGGGAATCAGCACGCTGGCTAGGAAACGGGATTTTTCGGGTCGGTAGAAACGGCTCGACGATTTGAAAATGTTCGTTTGGATGTTTCTCCAGAAGTCCTGACTGACTGTAATGATGGGTCCCTGTAATCTGCTGCGTACGCAGCAGAGTCCTACGCCTTATCTACGCCGTGAACCAAACTTTGTCTGAAAGAAATAAACAATGAACAAAAATAAGACCAAGACCAAAACAAACAAAAAACAAACAATACAACTGCAAGTTTTAATGAGTGTTTTGGCTTAAACGAGACATTATAAAGTGACTAGGCCTTTCTGGCCATGCTTTGAACACGTTCAAAACCCACTTACCGGCGGCTGAAACCCTCTATTAATTGTCACTCAGGCCAAAATACAATTTTGTCATGCAACGTAAAAGGGGAGGGGGGTGCATCAATGGGTCACATTTTTATGTAATAAAACAGTACTCTGAAAGAACTTTCTTTTGTTAAACTGGCCCTTCCCCGCGGCGTTTCATTCATGCACTGCCTGATCAAGAAATAAGTCTGCTGTGTTTGTCAAATAGTCTCCTTCGAAAGACAGATATCACGGCCATTTGACAACTGAATAACTCGCAGCTCTTCAACTGTTCATTACTTGAATTACCATACAGATTAATAAACCTGCCACGAAATTCCTTCTTAAGAACCGGAGGTCGTTAAAACAGGCTTAGCGTCTAGCTAACACTAATTGATGCTTCATAAAAAACATTTGCTGTGCAGGCACCTTAATTGGCTGCACGACCCAATCTTTACTTCTACACCAGCACAGTTGTGTTCCATTCTTATGAAGCCGGGTCCAGGGGATTTTGAACTTGTACCAAACGCACTACAATGAAGTAAGAATCCAAAGACGTGTTAAAGTACTTTTTTAATTACATGCATCTGAATCAACTAAATTCATCTATAGTATACGGAAGTATTTATTAGTATATTCCATTTATTATATGATGTTTCATTCCTTTCGTGTTGATTTTTGACATGTTTTCTGTATTCTGCAAACATTTAATTCTTTGGCCTTAAAAAGAAATCAGTTTCTGTTAAGTGATTTTGACTTACCACCTGGCAATATAAGAAATCAGTACTTCACTTCGGTGCGGCAGTATATCAAAGGTGTAGACAAAGTTCAGTTTTTATATTGGCCTATTCTTAGCAATACAATTGCTAATAATAGGCTTATTTCAGTTTGACGTATGCTTAGTTCAAGGTAAAGGTAATAATGAGTTCCTAGTAATTGTGCAATATCACGAAATGCGATGTAATGTATATGAGTCCTATGGGGCAGTTCTCGGGTTGGTTCCCAGTCGGTTTTCGTCGGGGGCTCGACATTCCAAACCCTGCAATTACGAGCTGACACACTAAGCTTTTGTCATAGGATGACGGAAGCTATGGCGATTCCAGAACGTCAAGTATTTGTGCTGTCGGCAAGCTGCTAAATTAGAGCCGACGGCTCAGAATCCATTTGATGGGAAAATGCGTTGATGGTTATTGTAATTCATATATTTTGCTCCTGATTTTGCCTAACATCAGGGCGGGAAATCGGCTTCTGCTAACATACATTGTTGTTATTCATGCTTCGCAATAGGCCTTAGCTCGACCAGAACCCTGATTATTGCCGAGAATGCTACTCGTAGAAAGTTAGCCGTGATTAGCCAAAACTATAAAACTCTCCCAGCGCCTCGATATAACTATCACTGTTAGTGTTGACATTTTTAACATTTTCTATCGAAGTTGAAGCATAAAGTTCCCTTTAATTCCCACAAGAAAACTCACTTTGAATGCTGAGTGATGTCAGCTTGACTAGTGCTGGAAAATTTCCCGGGAACTATAAATAACCACACACGCAGAAGAAATATTTTATTTTATTTTTCAAAAAGAGGCCATTTATTGCCGGTGCCGATACCATACAGTCCCCTTGTTAACTCCACCTCGTCCCCAGGGCACTTTTCACTGGCTTTGGAGGTGCTGTGACAGGTGGCACCTCTAAAGCCAGAGAAAAGCGCCCTGGGGACGAGGTTGTTGTTATCTTTGAACTGCGTCATCCCGGCCCAATAATGAGTTTTACATCCCGAGAACTATGCTTTTCTAAAGAGCAAGTAGAGCGATGCATAGACGGTCCAAGGACAACAAACCCAAGTTCGGATCACACATAAAGCTCGCTCTTTCTTATGCAAACAAAGTAAACAGGCTATGGGCTACTGACAGGCAGCAAAAACATGACCCCGCTAACCAACTGCGCCTTGCCTTCCCAGCTGCTCAGTGACGTATTAACCTTAGAATACAGCTGTCTCTCCTTCGTTCCTCGCCGTTAGCACGCTGGGGATCAGGAAAAAGTCCCGAGCGGCGAGAAGCGTACGAACAAACTCACTCGGACCACGTGACCCAAAACGCGCAGGCCGGGGAGAGTATTTAGAACAAGACCGGCTAGACATCTGGAATACATCTGGTTGAAACTTAGCGAGAGCTGCAGACAGAAAGGGCCTACATCTGCCGCCGCTTACAGAACATCAGGGGTGCTTGCCTGGGTGCTTACCTTTTTGTTTTGTGACAAAATTCTCGACGGAAGGTCAATGGTCAGGTCATATTTCGGAAATTTCAGTCGAGAATTGAGGACCATGTGTTAAGGTAGCTACGTCATCAGCCCGGCGGTTGGTACGAACCAGACGGAATGTTGCTTACCATCTACCAATTTCTCGTCATTACGCAAAAAGAATTCTTTAGTATTTCTTTTCTTAATGTCATTGGTGCCCAATGACATTACCAGTCTTCATAGCCAATAACATCACTGTTTAACTGACAGACGACCAATAACATTCAATAACCAGAGTCTGACGTGATATAACTCACTTTAATACCGTCAAGTTGTCGAAACGTCAGTCACTGACAACAACAACTTAACAGTCCTATTCAGGACTACGTTCACCGCTACGATCATACTCAACCTAGTTATTTCTTTTTTGTGACAAAACTAAAAAATCTGACACGATGGAATTAGAAAAAAAAAAGTTGTACCACACATGTAGACAGCGTACCGCCAACCGTTCAATCCCCGTTCAACATGTGACCAAACAACCACAAACAGTATTGCAAAAGCTGCTTTAGGAGAATAACTAAATTCTGTTCAAGCCTTTCAGAAAAGGGCTCTATCAAAGACCCAACTAGTGACCCAACTTGTGTACCTTTTGTATCACTCAAGACCCTGAAAACCATTGATTATTTAGCGGCAAATCCCTGTTTAAGCCAAATATTTAAGGAAGTGCCCACCCCATTAACACCCACCTGAAAAACCTTGGGGACGAGTTAGCTGTTTCTCATTTTTTTTTAAATTTTTTCTCTGGGGCTATCGCAGTCCACGCATTCCGGGTCCTCATAATTTTTAAACTTAACTTGAACAAACCGTGTGCCATGTACGAGCAATACACAGCCTTTTGAACCAAGATTTGTCAAGC